CTGTATTATCTATTTTACTTAGTTGTTCAAATATTTTTAAAATAATAAGTAGCGATACAGAGCTAAAGTCACACAATTTTTTAATCATTCTTATATTATCATAATATTAATTGTGTCAATTAATCCAAGATGCATATTTAATACAAATTTTTGTACATGAATTAAAAAAATCTAGGGTTTATATACATAATTAAAATTATTATAATCATTCAATCATTATATTACTAATTCATACAAATCGTATTAGTAATAGCTTTATATCATAACATGCATGGTACGTTAAAGAGAAGAAACTTGTTTAGTTTCCTAAATCCTAGTGCTTCCACGTCTCGCCTCGTTTTATTTATATTGAAAAGCGCGTGCATGTGTGTTTTGATCGCTCTTACAACTTAAAATCATCTATGACACCAAAATAATACATAAGCAATATCACTAAAAGAATCATTAAATGTCATACAGGATGGAGCATGGGAACTTCCTGTTTTGAAAACGCAGTAAGACAAATTTCATGTTCCATTCGCCTTTATTGTTATTTTCCAACATTGGAACTTTGAATTTACACACTTGTAAACACAACGTCTGCTAAATGTCGCCCTCCATTATCAGTATCCTGAGGCAGTTGATTTCGAAAACTTTGAGTGACCTTTTCAAGTATATCGATAGGGATATTGTCAGTTTCGGCTCAGATGTAGTTATTTAGGTCTTCTAGGGTCTTGTAGTGATCTCTGCAAACCAGGGACTTGAGATTTGTCCACAGGAAGTAATCAGGAGGGAATAAATGAGGCGAGCATGCAAGCCAGTTTATGTCCCCTCACAGGGAAATCAGTCATTGGGGGAAGACTGCTCTTAAAACACCTATACGGGAACCCTGGAGGTGTGGGCTGTGGCTCCATCTTGTCACCACACGCTGTCAAATCTTTTTTTTTTTTGAGAGTGAGTAAGAATTGAGGGATCATTGTCACATACCGGTCTGAACTGACACACAAACTCCTTCCACATTTTAAGGCATTCTGACGTTTATTGGAGGTACTTTTCTTTCTTTGAAGACATTCCCCTTGCTCGGAAGGGATTACACATTAAAACACTTTTCCGGTCCGGAACTCGTAGAGGAATATTGAAGTGACGACGAAAGACACGTTGTCCTGCAAAATCACCAACCGACCATTAGAAAAATACGCCTCTACGGCAAAAACGCGCTGCCGCCTTGACCACAACATATTTGAAATTGAGACGGGCAGGAGCACGAATAACCCAGTCCACCCCTTCCACCCAAACCTCCTGACACCCCTCCCTAGGAACATCACTGCAACTTGTTCAAAACAGAAAGTTCTCGCACCCCACCCTGCAAAACGTAATTCCAACAAATGATCATGTTCAACTTCCCCCCATGCAACAAATTTTTCTGCCTTTGATTCTAAGCCGCATCCAATTTTCTGCAGCATTTATATCGGAAAAAAAAGTACGGCTTAAGTTCTAATAAATATGGCATTAGTCACGAATGAAGGGTAGTGACATTTTCTGAGATGGAGTTTAAATGAAACATCCCTGAAAATTGTCCTCATTAAAATATTTTGATCAATTATGAAATGAAAACTAAATCTTTTTATTAATACAAAAAAGGTATCCACGTTACTTTTTACATCAGTTTCATTAAATTCATTCAGGAACTTAACTCTAAGGAGATTCTCTCTCACGAAATATTTGTAGTTCTGTCCAAATTTTTTTTCTATGAAACGTGGTTCTATAATGGAACATTTTTTGCAGCAATTTTAAAAATTCAGGGAAAGTGAAATGGATGGTAGACATGCGTATATCATTAGTTGTAATGTATTTGATTGCAAATAAAATGCTTGACAAGGACCATTACATTATGCTGGTTTCAATTTAAACACTATACCTATTAGAAGTTAATTAATCTAAACCAGTGGTCTTCAAACTGAGTTCCAAGGAAGTTTGGGATTCCACGAGGCATTCCCAATGGATCCATGAATCATAGTAAAAAATTGAAAAGATACTTATAAATATGTATGCAAAATGGATTTACATTCTCTATGAAATTTGTATAACCACGTGTATCTAAAGCTCATCCCAATCACAAAAAAAAACTGAGATCTTGTTTATATATAATAATTTTATTTATTAATAATTTTTTTAATTTTATTTTAATGTGATAAAAACTTTAAAACGCTTTTTCTTTATATGTACTACCTACTTAGACTGAATATTCTATTGTTTGTTATCCTAGGTTCTACGTAATAATTTTATATTCGTTCGTTCAAAGTTTTGCTGAACTAAATAGTTTTCTAATGGAAAATGCAACTTTTTACATTTATCGTAAAAAAAAAAAAATACCACCTATATTGAAGAAGACGGAACAACTTATCGATATATCTACAGAATCAGCTTTTAAAACCTGAATTTAAGCAAGAACTGCTAAGTTTTAAGTTGCAAATTCCGGCAAAATACACAGAATTTCTCACACAGCTATAAACATTTTAATGCATTCAGAACAACGTGTTGACTGAAAAATATTTCTCAGCGTAAGTAGCTACAAAAATAAGTATAAAAACAAATTAAATAAAGAATATACAATGAGACTGCAGATAAATTCAGAAGGCCTATATATATATATATATATATAGACTTCGACAATTAGTACAAAAAGTATAAACACATCCCAGTTACTAAGGTGACAGACACTTGGTTCATAAATTAATATTAATATAAGTAAATGATATAGTAGTTACTTTAAAAAATGTAACATCAAATACAACACTTTTTAAATATCTTTAAATAAAGTACCTATAACATGTTAATCTACTTCAAATATTATTTTATGATGAATTCTTCTAAAAAAAGGATGGGGTTCCCTAAGAACACCTAATAATTCTGAGAATTCCACGAGTCGAAAAGTTTGAAGACATTAATCTAAAAACGGTACTTGGAACTGTACCAAATCCCGCTTTACTATTGCTTTGTTATATATAGCATAAATTTATGTATAGTAGAATTATTTTGTTTCGTGTCATATGATTTTATCTTAGATTATTTAATGAGTTAGATCACAAAGAACGGCAATAACTTTTTTTCATTTAAATCGCAAAATAATATTTTTCACTTAAATGTAATTTCTCATGTGAATAGAAAGAATATTTCATAGAGATCAGCTATAAGCAAAATATTTCATTTTCGTACATCAGTAAAAAATTTATTTTACTTGTTTTGGCGAAATTCTATTCCCAGTCACGTTCTTTATTTTGCTTCTAGAGTTAGGTGAGATTTTTTCGTAAACACTAATGAAACGCATAAGCATTTAATACATTAGTGTCTTCAATATCTTTTGCGTATAAAATATAATGATTATGTCAAGTTTCATATTTTATATTTGGTTTGTTTACTTCCAAGAAATGAAAAGTAAACGAATAACAAATGAAAGAAATTTTAAAGTAATGTTTTTATTTGAAGAATACTTTTTATTAAGGAACAACTCCAATAGCAGTTGTTTTGTCAACAACTATTCCATTTCTTTTCTTTGAATCTATTGCCATCGTTCGCAAAAATTTTGTTGTCCATTTGTGACTTGATTTAACTCTCAGCTCATAAATTCATTAAGGACTCTGATGTGTATTCAATTCAAATGAGTTACTAACTCATCATTTGCAGTAATTTCAAGAGGGAGGATATCAACTCCTCTTTTTATCATAGTTCAAAATGATAACATTCGCTTTCAATATTCTATAGCGGAATCCTAGTCTTACTCTCCACTAACAAGGAAGAGAGCAAGGTCTTGGGATCACGGATTTAGCTCAAATTTTTAAGGATGGTAGATTTAGTTTCCCTATTGATGAAGATATGAGGTTATAGGGGCCAAATAATTTTTCAGATATTTGCAATGGAAAATGCAATTAAGAGGACACGGTACGATTTCCGCAAAAATTTTTAATTTAAGGATTTTCAAAAAATTTTTCGTTGCCTCTTATGTGTGTATACTATGTAAAACAGATTTTGTGCTCAAAATTTCATGAAAAGTTTAGCCATTTAAATTTTTAAGGAAAAAACTTAAAATTTGTGAAGTGATTTTAAAATGCTACTCCTCCTACAAAAATTTATGTACACGCATGAAATTTGATTAACAAGTACGTTAAACTTTGTATAACATAAGTTGGTACGGGTTTTTTTAATAACATGATTGGTATTCGTACAGTACTTTTCATAAATGCTTATTGAAAATTCCTTAAAAAATGTGTAAATTCTAAATTCATTTATTTTTAAAAAAGTAAGTATTGCTTTGAAATGCATACCAACTTTTATTCCATATACTAATAGCAACAAGTAAAATTTCCAAGAATTAGGCGCAATAGAAAAGGCCTTAGCATTTCAAATGAAGACACACTAGTTATTTTATCTTTGAGATAAGTCAGTTTAAAGGTTTTGTTTGTCATTGGGACGTGAATAAAAACGAACGGAAAAGCTATCATAATTCTGAGTTTCTTAAGCTAAGAGCTTTCAAATTTTGTGAGGCTATAGAGAAAAGTATACAAAGAATAATTTGGCTAAAAAAAATTAGGTTTGATCTTTTGACAATTAAATCGTACTGTGTCCCTCTGAACTCGTTAAATTCAGTTGTGTAGCAAACGATTATACGTAATGGATTTAACTTAGCAGCAACGGATCGGTGTTTCTTGTCGTTAGAAGCCAGTTTCGAGTCTGTGGAGGGTGAAGAGCTTTTTACTTTTTTTTTTTAATTTTATGTCTATTTTCAATTTCTACTATTACTTCACACTCTCCCTATGTATACACACAAATTTTAAATCGTTAATAAAATACCTTTTATTCATCCACTCAAGTTCAAATACATTTTTTTAAAACTTGTAGTGAATGGCACTTGATGTTTTTTTTTTCAAATATTAAATCATTAATTTTATTTAATTAATTAATAAATAGTAAACAAAAATAGTCCCCTAGTCCAACACTATATATAAAAAAGAAAATCGATCGTTGTCTCTGTAGTACAATGAACAGTGCGTTGGACTTCTCATCCAAAGGTCGTGGATTCGAATCCCGCCTGGGATGGCTTCATTTTTAAGAATGTGATTTCTTTTTACTATCCTATTTTATTGCGATTATTGAATTTTATGAATTAATAAATAGTAACAAACAAAAATAAAAGTTCAACACCCAATATAGAAAGGAAAATCTTTCGATTTTGCTACTTAATATTGTGATTCTGTTCTATGTATATACATATTAAACAATTACAGTTAATATGAATAAAAAGTAAATAAAATGTTCCTTTGATGACCTAAGTTGGAATTGACTTAAGTTTTTTATATCACTTTTTACGTATAAAGGCCCCTAATGAAGTTTAAATAAATTGGAAATGAAATGTCTTTAATGACTAGAAACTTTGAGTTTTATTTGTCTTTATCGTTCGTAAAAGTACAGAATAATCTGTATTACAAAACAATAAAAGCATTTCACAAGAAGAACAGGATAAAAGCCAATGAACAACTACTGCCTGGAAACAAATTGTGAAAAATAAACAATAAAACCGGTTTAACAAAATTAGTATAAAAATAAATATGACTAGCTTCTTACCCCTGAGAGAGAGAGAGCGCGCAATGGTGATACTTGTCGTAAAATATCAAATGAATGAGTGCAGTATTGTTGCATAGGTCTCTGCTGCTTTGTATTTCGAGTGAATTACTCTACAAATGCAAACATCTAAAAAAAAGCATTGAGTAGTGGCCCCTATAACCCTGTACATTCATTAATAGGGAAACTAAATCAAGTAACATCGTACAAAATTTGAACTAAATCCGTGACCCCAAGACCTTGTACTCTCCTTGTAAATTATATCATTTGATTACCCTCAATTTTTTACTATTTTGTTACTGTAAAGATACTGTTGAAGAATCAGAAACGAAATATTTCAGAGGAAAAGATGCAAGGGAATGAAAAGATCCAAACGAAAATAACTAGCTTTCCTTTGCATAAAGTCTTTCTACTTTGGGCAGATTACGAAGTTGTAAGCTGCTAATGATGCCAGATCCTCCCAACAATGCAGAGATTTCAAAGGGACCCAGGCAACCAATCGATGGCTTCCCATCTCGCAAGAAAATAATCCCTTTCCTTTCGTTCTGATTGGAAAGAACTTCTTCTGTTACACAGACAATTTTCTCTTCCCGGATTACGCTTCCCTTGAATGTACGACCAGAGAAAAGCATTCAACCGTACATTCCCAGAGATCTTTCTCAAACGGCACTTGCAATTTAATTACATAGATCTCATTTTTCATTGGATAGAAATACATATTATTTCTTTATATATATATGCAACTAGCCGTTATTCATCCGCTTCGCTGGGTATTTCATGATGATGCATGAATATCTACTGTTTTATATATGTATAAACTATTGGTATTTATGTCCCAGGATTAAGAATTCTGATCAATTGAAAAATATTCTTATAACTGTCACCTCTTGAGTTAAAAAGGACAAAACTTCTAAATAATAATTTTTTATATTAAAGTATAACTATCTTTTACGCTTTCGGAACTCCCACCCCAAGTGGATTTCCTCAAAACCCATTTTTAGTGGATCTCTTTTCAAAAAAAGAAACATGATTGCTAAATTACAAGTCTAAATCTAATAGTTCAAAAACTGAATTTTTTTATCAATGTGCACTAGTAACTCACTGTGAGAGTCGATTTCCGTTCGCCCCATACTCAGCAAATTTCAATTCAACAAAAGAAACAAACATATTAAATTTCATTACTGTAGATGTAGTGGTTCAAAAACGTGAATTTTTATCAGTACTCTTCAGCATATCCCCGCTCCTTCATGGAAGTTGATTTCTGTAAAATACTCTTTCTTAGCAGATTTCAATTCAACAAAAGTAACATGCATTCCAAATTTCATTACGTTTGATCTAATAGCTCGAAAGTGGGATTTTTTTTGTTTTGCAAATACGTCCTAGTACCTCCCTGCTTCAGGAATATTTGTCTATCACTCTTTGTGCCTCCACAATGTCCCCTTGGTGTCAATTTTCACAAAGCATTTTTATAGTGAATCTCTACTTCATGAAAGAAACGTGCCTACCAAATTTCCAGTTAGTAGGTCTAATAGTTTAAAAACGGGAATATTTTTCTCTAATGCCTCTTAAGCCTCCGCAACGCTCGTTTGAGGTCGATTTTCGCAAAATCCGTTTTTAGGGAATCTCTACTGCCTAACAGGAACATGTCTACCAAATTTCATGTCTGTACGTCTAATGGTTCCGGAGATATCATGATGAGGGAGTCAGTCACTTTTCTCGTACAAACACGAGTTTTCTCTCAGACGTAAACTCACTCATCGTTTTAAAAAAAATGACTCAATATGGTTAAACAATGCATTTTAAAAAGGATAAATTTGAAATGAAATGTATTCCGATTATTTTTATTTGTTATGAATTCAAAGAAAAGAAGTTACGAGCTAAAAAACTTTTTTTACTGATTATTTAAAAATTTGTTTCACGTTTTTTAAATTTACATAACAAATTCTAATAAATTATTTTCCATTGAAGGACAGTGTGTGTGTTTATAAATGTCGTACTATAGCGCATAGAACCTTGGTCAAGTGACGATGACGAACCTCAGATGACAGCCCCTCTCTTAACTTCCACATCACACTAATGGGAAGACTGAGCCTCGATAGATTTATTTTGCAACAGCCTCTCGAGCGGCTCATGAGGACCACTACGATTCAAACTCATGATACACCGTCCACGGGTTCGTGAGCATAACCGATAAGCTACCCAGGCCCCGTTGAAAAAGAAAGAGGAATAAAAAAAATTATACGTTTGAAATTACACTCCTACACACAATAAGAATGTATTTACTATTAAAAACCGTTTTGCATCTTTTCTCTACCAAATATTAAGTGGCAATGCACTTACGTATATGCTATGTAGCCATGGCTTATACCAGCGTTTCTCAAACTGGGGGGCGCGCCCCTCTATGGGGGTGTGATAACCAAACAAAGGGAGCCCAAGCATATCGAAAAGTCGCAAATAAAACTTTATATAAAAATATTATTAATTTGCTGAAAGGAAGTAAAACAAAATACATTCTAACATAGTAAAAAATAAAATACGCATTTACACATATATACTACACATATAAATGTATCGGTACTGCACACTGTATTTGATAATTACTTTAACAATACTAAGTTAAGAACAAGTTTAATAATTACCAGTAACCCCATGGGTTTGTCACATGTAAAATTATATACAAGAATTAACACTTATCTTGATAATTTGTACGGTTTGTAATTTAATTCATATTGTAGATTTACGTCAAAGTACATCATTATTGAATTCAATACATTGTTATGGTTTGGATGTAGGAGGGAGCGCAAATAAAATTATGACAGAATATTCGTTCGCAAGTATTGAAAGTTTGAGAAGCACTGGATTTATACGTAAGCGAGTTGGTAGTGCATTGGCATAGGTAAAGTATATAACAGGGTCTCTCAAACTGTGGGGCGAGCCCCCGTTGTTGGGAGGAGGGGGGACAACTCTACGAGGCGGGCGCGAGCATATTGAAAAGTCAAAAACAAAAGATTATTTTAAAAATTATTAATTTAATGAAAGGAAGCAAAACAAAATACATTCTGACATAATAGAAAATAAAATACGCATTCACACTGATATATTACTCTTAGAAATGTATCAGTGTTACACAATGTATTTTTTTTATAATTAATTTAACGGTACTAATTTAAGAACAAGTTTAATAAAATTACCAATTGACACCCTGGGCTTGTAAAATGTAAAATTATATTAAAAAATTAACACTTGTCGTTGTAATTTGTACGGTTTAAATCAGCATTTAAGGGATTAAATATAAAGTTACGCAATTTTTGCTTCCCAATGCCAACCGTTTTCCTTGTTAACCCGCGTATGTGATGCATTGTGGAGGGGGGAGGAATAAAGAAACTAATCTGAAATAAGTAAATCCTTCTCAAACATTGTCAATGTCCTTTTATCCAAAGCCTTCGGAATAGTTTTATGGATAGCAGTGCAGAGAAAAGATCGTACTTCGGAAAGACGTATATATACGTTCGAGAAAATTAACGCTTTGATTGAGCGAGACGTTTATAAACACCGGTGGCACCTAAGAGATTAAGGTCGTGTCGTATTTTTTGCATCAATGTATAGTGTTATTGATTTTAATACATTGTTATTGTATGTGAGGGATGCGATGAAAATTAATTGAACATTGGGTCGCGATTATTGAAACTTTGAGAAGCACTGATACATAAGCATAAACTCTTTAAACAATATCTGTTCGTAACCTTATATTGAACGGAATGTGTGAAGATATTTCGTATCTAAAATTTTTTTCTATATTCCCTAAAAATACTGTTTAATCTTTTTAGGAGCAGGTGCAGAGTATTAACCAAACGATTGACCCTGTCTACCAGAGTATGCTAGGGGAGCTCTCCACCTAGAGGGGACGTCAATCACCCACCATGGGCTGCACCTTCGCCAAGACATCGAAGAGTGGGAGCGCCCAGGACCTGAACCACGCTGGAGAAGCCCCAGGCGCTCCTCCGGCCCAGGACCCAAGGATCCCTCTCACAGTGAGGCAAAAATTCAGCATCTCCAAGTCATGGAAAGCCATCGCTCGGGCCATGGACCAGACGGGTGTCGCCATGTTCGTCAAGTGAGTCCACTCTTCCTCGCTTTCATGAACCATTTTTGATATCCAGCATTTTATTTTATTGTTAGTGTGTGCATCAAAATAAGATCACTGTTACTCTTCAAACTAAATACTAGTCCCTAATTGGTTAATATTTAAAGTCAGAGTCAGATGGGAAAAGAATGCGATGAATACGTCTGTCAATACTGAAGATAGCACATAAGAGGAAAATAATATATCAGACTCATCAAAAAATTTCCCTTTACTTAAAATTTTTATTTCAGAAATTTTTTACAAAAACGTTCAAACTAAAGCAAATAGTAATCATTATACAATTCAACGATCTCCTTCCAATATTTAGGCATCGGAAGGAGCATTAGTATTTTGC